TGTTAAAAGTTGTTGGTAGATCAAAACATTCATACCTTAAGTTTCATGTTAGTTAAACCTGGTTATCAAATTTTGAAAGAACTTCTCCGTTTAGTTCAGTAATAAGTGAAAATATGGAAGTGTGTTAAATTTTCTTGATAAATTTGGAAAATATTCAGGAATTAAGAAACAATTTATGATACTTCGTTAAAGAATGAAGGTAAGTATACATCACATCATGTCCTTGTACAAATAACGAGTTTGTCAGTTCTCTTAGCTGCTATGTCTTGAATTCTAAAAACCCACTTAGTGAGGATCATGATCTCTATGACCCTAAAACAGCTTTGTGGTGTGTGCTACTGATTTGAACAGATATAAGTAGTATGTGAAATGTCTGGCGATAGAAGGTTAAGATCAAAGGAAATCAAACGAGTAAAGAAAATGTTTGCTATAGAAATTAAGCAACAATTAAGTCTGAGGTGACATAGGCGAAAGGAAGAGTCAAGATTGAGACAACTGATTGATATTTTGTGAATGAGAAAGATTCCGTTTATTTTGTGAATGAACTATTTACTGTATGGTTCTCAGATTTTACTAAGATGTTCTGTAATTTCGTGTTCAAACACATTCGATTGTTCCCATTTTTGTTCTTGTTCACCACACCTTGCCTTAAAAACTGTAGTGTCTTGAAACAAGACTGGTTTTTCAAGGTCGTGACTTGATTTAATTACTGATTGCTGCTACTAATACGGTAATTTGCTGTTGGTTGAGAAATACTTCTTACCCGTTATTTATTACAGCACAACGAGACTGTTTTGTAGACATACAGAAGAAAACAAAACTGTAGAAGATGACGTTTATAATCAGAGAGGGGTTTTGTGGATATTATAGTAATTTTTATAGCTGTATTCATGAGTCAATTGAAGCTAAACCACCATGGGAACGCTGAAAGCACTAGACAGCCGTTTCGTCTTAGTATCAGACTTCTCAGTAGTGCGCATCTAAGATCCCGCCATGCAAGGTATGACCCAGGACACTCTTGAAGAGGTATTTCTTGGAGTTTTAGTGAAAAGTCATGACCAGTGGAGTTCACTCGGGTCTGTTGTGAAATAGTAACTCAATAAAGACAATGGTGGACGGTGGCTCAATTTGGTGGATTGGTTGAACCTAGACGTTAAAACCTCTGGATGTCGGTTTAGTGGTCTAGACGTTAATCGTTTGCGCGCGATACTGATAGGTCCTGTGTTCGAACCCCACAAGCGAGGCCGTTGGTGCACACTAGTGAAGAGTCCTGTGCAAGGACGAAACGGTTGTCCATTGCTACCAGGTTTTTCATGATTGTCTAGCTTCAGTCGACTCATGAGTTCAACCATTAAATTACATCAGTTTATATCCAGAACAATAAAAAAAATTACATAACACTAAATATTTTGATCAATCAACGATCCTCAATGAATTGAACCGGTAATTAATCATTATTGAGCTCTAGTAATTCACAATATCAATAAACTGACTGAGAATTACAATTCATGTCTAGGTAATCAATATATTTGCTTCTTAAAAAATATACTCTAAAGACAATAGTTACAGAAGTTGTGCCAGTTAGTTAGTTGACAGACATGATCAGATTGATATAGATCGTAATATAAGAATGTTTTGAGTTTTCTAGCTTAAAAATTATTTCAGTATTATAATCATAACATGGATTACAGCAATGAAAGACATCAGCCGAGAACCTTTAATTCTTCTTAAGTGAACATCTTGTTGATTTATGAACGGTACATATCAGAAATGAATTGTTTATAATCATTTACAACTAGAGAAAATAAAATGAAAGCAGAGAGCACAGAATGAAAAGGACAATCATCACTACGATGGGTTAGTCGGGTTTACTATAATACATATGTCAGGTATTTTACAATATACTAACCATGTTAGATATTATTCAAACTAATTAAGGCTGTCAGGGATGGTTTAAGTGTAAAGTGATAGCAGGTCGGTAGGTTCACTTAGTAAATTCAGTAATAAAAATGACTAAATATTTCAAGTTCCTATAGTCTCATGAATGGAATAAGATGCACTTACAGATGTAATAACATTCAATGTATATTATCAGAAGAGAAGTAAGTGTCAATGCAGCGAACAAAAGGGATGGAAATAATCTTATCCCATGGATAGATTGTGGTAGATTATTCCAGAGTCTGTAAAATTTACTGGTGAATTAATTCATATAGAGAGATGATCTAGAATGTGATTGTTTCAGTAACAACAAAGAGTTAAGGATACTGTAACTAGAAGTTTCTGCATATTGAATTACTTTTCTGGATGTAAAGGATAGTTTATTAGGTATTTTGGAGAAATCGATTAGATTTAGTCTGAGTCTTCTCTTCAACATCTTGTTGTGTTGCGAACCCACTGTGACTGGTAGTTCATGTTAATTGTCTCTGAGAATTCATCATTACATGACTGACAACTACCGGTATTACAGTTTATTCTAGAGTAATTGAAATCTCCTATAATAACCTAAGCATTAAATTTTAGGGTAGATGTGTGCACAAATGCATGATCCAAATTATTAGCGGATCTGTATGTACATCCCAGGAGTAGTCTATTATCCAGGATGTTGACTGATATCCATATAGATTCAGGCAAGCTACTCAAGACACTGTCTTCAACTTAATTGCTTGTTAGAGAATTCAACGCATATATAATACAACAACCTGAAGGCTTAATTCCTCCGTTCCAGCGATAGTGTCGGTAGTTCCGGTTAATTAATTGTGAATCAGACACTTTGGGAGAGCACCATTTTTTAGTCATAAGTATGAGAAAAGATTTAGCTAGTAAAGCTAAGGTCCTTAAGGCTGAAATTTTATTTAGAGTTGAACGTGCTTTGACAAGCAATAAATTTAAGAAGGAAATATGGATCGTAAAAGAGTTGAGAGCTTTCTTATCGATACTATATATTTTAGAGATGACTGGACTATGGTTTAGTATGGGCGACTGATCGCATAAGCTATGGTTTGAAAAAACTATGGCGTTAGAAAGATTAGGAATTTCTGAAGATTAAAACAATCACTGTTTTGATAAGGTGGACTTATTTGCTCAAATTGACTTGATGGACGGTTAGGAGAGTCACCTGCTTGTTGGAGTTAAGTTAATGGTGCCTAACCTAGTAATCCATCTTGCCTATCGGGAAAATGATAAGCAGTTATATGTTACAGATTCAGTATGTAAAACTTTTAGAGACAACCATGGGATACGTTGGTTCCTTCCAGTTTGTCTAATATTAGACCTGCTTACACGAAGGTTGTGGTGTACGTCTTGTGAGTCATTTGCGCAAAGTATATTTGTTTGATTTAGGAAAAGGGCTGTGACAAGTCACTTAATGTTTATAGGTTGATCTGGGATGAGTAAACGGTGGATCAACCAGTTCTTGTTTGTGTGCTTATATAACCACCCCACGATTGGTACGGTTAAACCTGGTGTCGAGGAGTATATTTTTGTATGGTTGAGGCTTTGTATTATTTGTGGTACTAGTTTTGAAACTAAACACTTCTGTATATACTTCCTTCTCATATGGTTTAGACTTTGATCTTAATGGTGTTTTGAAGAGCTTTCATGTCAAAACTAGGCATTCGGGTTTGCATCTCTAATGTTTCATTGTGAGATGTCACATTAGGTATACACTGGTTATCTGAGGTAGCCACATGCTTAAGTGGTAAGTTGGCATTCTTCACTGATAAACCAGACTATTGGCTGACAGGCGATATATTATTCACATCAGTGTGTCCTTTTGCTAAGTCAACAAGATAAGTTGTGATTTCTACATGATTATTTTCGTTAAAGGTAGGCTTTTACGTAAGCCTTTGATTGATGGTTCTATCTGAGATTATACGAGCATTTATAAACCTCGTATGTGCTCAGATTAACTGTTCGGATTCCTTGAATTGTTTAGATAATAAATATGAATCAAATCTAAATAAGTTGGGTCACGTTAACTTCTGGTGCTTTCTTATTAAGTCGAATACATTTTCATGGACAGTACAGAAGTACCAAAGTTCTCGTAGATTCAAATGTGATTTTGTCGGGTATGCTATAGATAATCATGTTATTTTGAGAGATTATTTGCTTAGTAAATTGGCAAGTGATAAAGTTGATAACAGATGCTGTTTCGATAGTGTCTTGAGTTCCACTTGAACTACGTCGTTCAACAATGGTAGCCTTAGGTGTGATAATACATTTTTTTCCTTGAATAAGGTGATCATAAATTGACGGAGAACAAGTGACTCTAATTTAAAACTCATATTGCTTATTCGCCTATATGTAGTGTGCAATTCACTCTTTATATTCATCCACGTTAAGGAATGAACGGGAATTCATAGAATAGCAAAAGTGTATTGTAGTTTCCTTTAAACGAATTTTAAATCAGTTTTAGAAAAGGTAGAAAATGTACAGTGTTGAATAGTTCCATACTAAGAGGAAACGTTTATTCAGTATTTCACGGTTTTTAGTAGTTGTTTTGGCTGAATTTATTTACTGATGTACAGTATGAATATCAGTCAGTCAGTCAGCGGCAAGGTAGGACCAGACACATATATGCGTCGACCCAAGTTGCCATTAACTCATTAACACAACGAAATGAACAACAAATTCATGGAATTATTTAGTTCAATGGTGGTAATATATAAAAGATTTTGTATAAGGACTGATGCCACATTTTGGTTGGCCGCCCATAACTTTCTTCCAATCACCCCCCAACACTACTCAGCAAGTATAGATGTTAAGGGATTCATTTCATAAATAACACTAAGGAACTTAATTCCTAGAGGTTTTCAAAACTAGAGGTCCTAAAATGTAACTATATATTCAGAGAATGTCAGTAGTTAACCTTTGAACGCCTTGCCTTGCTAACTACTCGGTCAGTATCCCAACTCTCACACAAATCGAATGATTTATTTGCCGAATAAGTATTCAGCAACCCTTTGTACTAAAGTTTATGTATTGAAATAAGCAGTTTGATAATTATTGTGTATTATTTATATACAATTTGAAAAAAAAATTAAATAGAACTATAAAGGAAGGCACAGGACAGAATGAGTTGGAGAATGCTGGTTGGCGTCCTATGCTCCATTAGGAATAATAGGCTTAAGGAACTAAGTAATCTATGTACAATTTATAAATAACCTGAATTGTAAATGGTGTTACATATTGTATCGAAAAAGAAATATACAAAAAAAACCGTAATTTGAATGTTTTACAATCATTTGCATAAATGATATTCATCATCTTCCATAGAACGTTCCATTAATGGTGGCATACATAAATAAGGAGGAGAAGAAGCACAAGGAGAAGAAGTGCAACAGGGAATTTCTTCAAATAATATTAGATTAGATAGATAAGAATGGTTTGTATTATTTTGATTATTCACTTTATTACATTGTAAATGAACATTATTTGTATATGAATCGGAATTCTCTTTAGATTGTCGATATTGATTTGGAATGTAAATATGATATAATGGTGTGAATGATGTGGATGTCAAATATGGATATAATAAATGATTCAATTTGAATTGTTTACTTCTTGGAGATCTGTTTCTTCTATAATTGGGAGATAATTCTGTAATATCAACTAGAGAAATTATAAAAGCAAAGAAATCTTCATTTAAGATCATATACTTTGAAGTGGCATACCTATAATTCAATGGATGAACCAATCAAATTTAAGATAACAAGTCTGGGATTTTGGCACGAAATTCATCCATCCATTTGGATAAATAACGTTTGGACGATTTAGTGGATGTCAGTACGTGATATAAAAAATATCCCTGAATTTAACTTTTAACCCCTAATTATCAATTGTAAATCATAATTATAATTCATCATACAGGTTTATAACTCTCATTTGGTCCTAGTTATTGTGTGAACACTTTCATGGTCACTGTAGCGTCACTCAAAGGTCGTCCATAAATTATAGTCTCATCACTATGAGTATTTCAAGTTTAGCGTAGATAACAATCCTGTTTGTAGATTCGAGACCAACGTTAAAATCAAAAACATTGAAACCACCTGACGAAAGGTTTCGAATTTCGGATTTCAACCAATTGAACAATGATTATTGATACAAGTTTGTTTGTTGAAACGAGTCCTAGAAAATGCGACGAAGCTTGCAAAAGCTCTAAAGGAGTTGAAGAAAGTCCATTCAATCAGAATTCAATAATACTTCATATATTTTCAACATTTCATGCTATGATTAGGTAGTTTCTTGCCGATTGGCTTGATCATACTGATATTATAGCCTAGACTAAAATCTACAAATGTACTCTTTCGACAGTTACTCAATAGATACTTCTTTTCTTTTTTAATTTGTGACTGTGGGCTTTACGAGTTCGATTACCGAAGTTGAATATCATATTAGCTATAATCAAGTAGAGAACTTAATTAAGTTTAAAGTTTCAAGATGTTCTCAATTCTAGGTTTGGCAACGGAGTTTCGTATGTCACATTTGTATGAACAAATCCCCGTAACATTATTAGTTTTCTAGAGATACTGCATTGTTTAGTCATAGTACCATATAACGAGATGATGGAGAAGATTTGTAGCACAGGCGGATGATTTTGATGGAGTTTTGGTCTCATTTCAGAGAACAAGACTTCGTCCGAAAATACCATATCATTCATGACAATAATACACTATAACATAAAACTTTTAATAACCTCTGATGACTTACATTCACTATCGATATGTCTAAGATTATTGCATCTATCATTGAAGTTGATCGACTGTTTTGTTAATTGTATATTTGCTTCCAAAGAAAAAGCTTCATTAGAATGGCAAGCTAATGATAATTGTAAGAATAAGAATAGTGAAAATTTATTTCAAATATATAAAATATCAAAGATTAAATTTTTATATTTATTACTATTGTAGTGTGTGCTACTGATGTCCAAAAATATAAGTAGTATGTATCATCAATCGAAAGTGAAATGTTTAGTGGCAGGAGGTTAACAAGACCGAATAAAGAGAATGAGAACAATGAAGTCTGAAACGGTTGATTGACATTTTGCAAATGAAGTATTTACTGTCAGTATGAGATTTTGGAGATTAAGTTTTTGATTGACATCATGGACCGACTGACGTTACAACACCATCGAAAACGTGGAAGCCCTAGACGGCTGTTGTGAGACTCCTCAACATTGAACATTCACGACCTCGCTGGCAGGATTCAAACCTAGGACCTATCTGTCTTGCACGACAACGCTCAACCCCTAAATCACTGATTTGGCCGGCATCCAACGATGTTAATGTCTAACCTCAACCAATCCACGAGTTGCGCGTCCACCTTCCATTGTACTGAGGTAGATACCTGTCTCTACCCGATACGGATCGCCTGCATTTATTTACTGTATGGTTCTCAGATTTCATTAGAAGATTCCGTAATTTTATGTCCAAATACATTCGATTTTCCTCATTTTTGTTCTCGTTCACTACACTGTCATTGCAAACAATCTATCCATTCAATATTCAGTTTATTTGAAATTATCGTGAAAGTTACTTATCTGAGGTCACAATTTTTCATATTCATTCTTCTAATTTGAAAATGAAATGTTGATTGGTTCCGTTAACTTGATGAATGTAAATGTATTTTGTTAAATCTTGTATATGATTACAATTATGTGCTTGTAGTGTCGGTTACTATGTTAAGCCCACATAACTAACAGCTGTTTCATATTTCTTACTCTTTCAGATTTTTCAGCTGTCGTTACTAGGTCATCCTTGTATTTCTTCTTGACGGCTCAAATGCTCCTGTTCACTTGTTTGTGCCATGACTTTCTCTGCTATTTTTCGTCTGTTGTTAGTCGCTGTCCTCTTGTTCTTCCTTTTTCGAATCTTCTTCAGGGTTTCCATAGAGATCCATTCCTTATGGTGATGCTTCTTGCGGCTCAGCACATCCTAACACATTGAAGTTAGTGCTTTTCAGTTGTCCTCCACAGTAGTTTATTCTTCTTCTTTGAATAGATCCTGTAAGGCTTGGAACTTGTTGCTGAGATTTATTTTGAATTTGTTGAGTTTGCCAATGTATCGAAGGAAGTCTTTATTGAACCATTGCAATGCTGCTTCTCCAGTTTATCCATTCTTGAGTCACGTTTTAGACCTTGTTAATTATTCACTTATCAATACTGACTATTTTTATATCAGCGAATGTGTGTGTACATTGCTTACCCTACTCGTCAAATGCCTGTATCTTATTTTTGAGTGACCGTAAATAATGATTAATGCTTGAATAAATCAAGTCGGTCCACACAACTTTCTTCACTGCATGCCATTTCACTTCTCTTTCTTCGATTCGTTTCTCTTATCGTTTGTCTGTTCAGAAACTAGAATATGTTATAATGACTTAACATAGTAAACGACACCACACTCAACTTTAAGTATCTTAATAACTGCATTATTTGAAATCAAATGTCATTAATAAAACCTTAAGTTAAACCATTGAGTTAGCCACTAATGCTTTATATCTTTGATTTCTATCAAATTTAATTGGTATTGGCTAAGCATAAATCTTTGGAATCGATTATATTTGTCCCAGATTCGATATCTTACGACTGAGTGGATTTACTGGTAGGGCTGACTAGGACTTGAAGATAGGAGAAAATAACCCTATTGTGTTTTCTGTTTTCCAGAACTATTCTAGTTAGATTCACTTAGTGATATTCATAATTAAAGTGAAAAGCCATATTTCTACAATTGAAGAACATATGGACTTCAAAACAACTGTTAACCAATATCAAAGTCGCAATCCTAAATACGAACGTCATAACAATTCTACTATACGGAGCTGAAACTTGCACAACTACAACAACAATCATCAAGAAGATACAAGTTTTTATAAATAGCTGTTTACGCAAGGTACTCGACATCCATTACCTGGATACCATCAGTAACAGCCTACCGTGGGATAGAACAAACCAACTTCCAGATGAAGAGGAAATTAGGAAAAGACGATGGAAATCGGTGGGACATACATTACGGAAATCGTCAAACTGCATCGCGAAGCAATCCCTAACTTAGAACCTGAGGAGAAAAGAAGATGTGGAAGACCGAGGAATACACTACGTTAGGAATTGGTAGCAGAGATGAAAAGGATGAATAGCAGGTGGAAAGTACTTGAAAGTATTGCCTAGAACAGGGTTGGGTAGAGAATGCTGATGGGTGTCCTATGATCCTCTACGAGGAGTAAGTAAGTAATAACTAAAGTGAATTATCTCCACAAACGTTTTTTTTTATTTGGTAACTCAGATAGTTAAATGAACAAATGAAAATGACCTTTAAATCCATAAAACATTTAAACATTCACCATAATGAAGATTGAATTATTCTCAGTAAAACATACCTGAAATTATTGGATCCTTCCGTTGTTGTGAACCCCAAATATTGAATGAACTTATTTTACATAAAAAAATAATGAAATGAAAAATATAATAATAAATATAATATAATAATAATACAATAATAAGGCCACCGAAGTTATCCAGGATGCATATGTAACCGTTCTTGTCTACCGAAAATTTAGCGTTCTTAACATCGATCCCTATCCATAGGTATTATTGGTCATTTTTAGCGACTTTGTAAGCAAGTAAAATGATTATACATAAATAATAGCATTCAATTATTTGTTGTATAACATTACTATTTATAGTGACATGAACAAATATTTGATTAGATTGATATCATGAATGGATCAATGTTAGACCACTATTGGAAACAATGGAAACATCATACAGCTTTTTCGTCCTAGCATGGGACTCCTCAGCAGTGCGTACTAGTAAATGGCTTTAAGATGGATTTCCTGAAGTTCTAGTGAGTAACCGTGACCACTGAAGTTCAACAGTGTAAGCTGTGGGGCAATTATTGACTGAAGACAATGGTGGAAGATCGCACAATAACATGGAGTGGTTGAAGTTAGACATAACCCAACTCAGTGGTCAAGAGGTTAAGCGTTCGCGCATGAAACAGAAGGTCTTGTGATCACGTCACTTTCGTATGGTATCATGGATACGCACTGCTGAGGAATCTCACAATAAGACGGAACGGCCGCCCAGTGCTTCTGGGTTTTCCATGGTGGTCTAGCTTCAATTGAAACATGATCTCAACTATTTAAATTACTATAATATCCACAAAACCCCTTCTGATAGTTATTCACTCATTTATGATGGTCTTTTAAATTTGTGATGAAAATTCATGGCTTGTGGAGTTCAACCATGTCTGGAGATAAAATGTCATTACACATTATACTGAATGATCAAGTAATCAAAGTATAAATGGATCAAAGTTAGAAATTTGGAAAGTTATGTTTTTGTCCAATGGTATAAATATAATAGACTCGTTGTGGCCTGTTTAAATATTTGGGTTACCTATTCCTGTCATCTAAAGATTTCAACAAGTTATCTATTTTTGAATTTTTTCGACGGTTCATTACGTTTATTAATTGCATAATCTATTCACTTACGTTTATAGAAAGTTTACTACCTTTCGTTATATAAGTTACAAAAGAGCCTCATCAGAGACATCGTGTTCGCTGGCAATATCGATTGATAGTAGTGAACACCATTCAGATGTTGATTCCTGAACTGTTAACATCTAACTGGTCATCACTCACTATATTATTGTAAGGATTGACAAAGAATCAAGAAATAGTAACTTGTTGAAATACGTTGTGTTGAGAATTATCTTTTATACCAAGAATATAATATTGAATAAAGCTTATAATAATAGTAATAGTAATAATAATAATAATAATAATAATAATAATAATAATAATAATAATAATTCCAGATTCTACTCCTAATAGAAATCGAAAGATTGAATAGTGAATCGATTTATTCACATTAATTATCTTTGATTTATATCATACTGTAATTCTAATTGAATTTGAAGGGAAGATAATGGGATATTCTATCCTGTTATTAGTTGTAATTTATAACTGTGGGAATACTACTCTCATACGTACCATACATGCTCTTTCACACAGAATAATAATCATAAGGGAAACGAAATAGTTTGTAGTTGAAATGATACAAATTGTATGTTCATTATCAACATCAAGATTTGATATTCCATTGAAGAACTGTGTAGAATGCTTATAGGTTATAATAATAATAATAGTAATAATGATAATAATCCATGTGAATTATTTTCAATATTTACCTTCTATCAAATACAAGTATCCAACTGTAGTATTTGTGATGAAGTAAAGAAACAGAATGGATTCATTGAAGGACAATGATAATTTGATTTTATCATTTCAATGTATCACGAATGGTTTCTATGTTTCTATGTGGATATAAGTGGGAATTGCTTAAATCATATGCGTTAATGTCATTTTCTGTTAATCAATATGATAAAAGATTTTCTATGATACATTTTGATTTATACTAAATTATAGTGTGATTTATTTGATTTGACAATTTATTGTTTGAATCTTGCCATTGTTGTTTAGGACTGCAAATGATCAGTCAGTTATTAGTATATGTGCATGGTTGTGTGAATTGCTTCGATATTGCCTTAAATCACAAACTTTGTAAGCAACGATGGATGGATGCTAAAAGAGGAGTCCAGGACACGCGTTTCGTCTTATATGGGACTCGTCAGCTGGGTTTACCTGTATCTCAGACTTGTTGATGTTCACTCTGAGACTCGAACCCAGTACGATTCACTTCAAACACCATCGTTTTATCCACTCACCTACTGAGTCTTGATAGCCACCTGCGTGAAGTTAAATTCACTTGGTGTTGTTGTTTAGGACTGCAGCTGATCAATCTTTTGTTCGTATATATGCATCCTGTGCGGATTACCTCGACATAGTTTTAGATCACAAGCCCTATATACAAAAATGATTCCAAACTCATAATACCAATTATGTCACATGGCATGGAGATCAAGGGTCTTATACAAAATCCAGATATCTCTTTATTTTGGTACAATAATCAGTAATATATAATACATACTTGAGATTCTCCAGTGAAACGATATCAGTTTCAGAAAAAGTTGATCTTGTATTTCGGCTAGTTAATTCATCGTAATCTTTAGGTTTTTCTACAGAATTTCTGCTCCACAAATTATTGTGTTTACGATCTATAATTAGAATAATGGATAGTAAATTATATAAGGCGTGAATTAGGGGCCATAACTAAATGAAGTTTGTAGTATATTACTAAGATTGAGGCTTTTTGTATTTATTGATATGTAAGTCAATAAATTCTAATATAGAAATTTGATATTCATCTCAAGTGATCTACGTTAATGAGATGAGTGAGAAGATTTAGTGATTAGGTGATGGAGTTGACCGTAAACCTGTCACTGTCAACAAGAACCATTCAACGTCCAGATCTACAGGACAAGCTATGAACCATATGTGGAGAAATTCGAACACTTCACTTTTACCTGAAGTTTGTGCTGATGATGTCATTCAGAAGAAAGATGAAAACTGCACAACCAAACCATCAAGCTCAGAGACCAAAGTTTCGTAAAAATTATCCGCCTGAGATAAACTTGAAGAACTTATAGAACTCAAAATAACTGTCAACCAACGTCAAAGTCTGAATTATCAATTCGAACCTTGAAACAGTTGGTTCTATAGTACGGAGCTAAAACATGGAGAACAGCTAGTAGCATCATCAAATAGGTACAAGTAATTCTAAACAATTGTCTACGCAAGATTCTCAATGTCCGTCGACCGAATACTATTAGCATTAACCTGCTGTGAGAGAAAGCAAATCAGCCTTTAAATGAAAAGGAAATTCGTAGTAGACGTTGGAAGTGGATAGGACATAAATTGAGAAAATCACCAAAATGCATCACGAGGCAAACACTAAATTGGAATGAATGTAAATGGAAAAGAGGAAGACCAAAGAACACATTTCATCGGAAATCAGAGACAAACATGAAAATAATGAACAGAGACTGGAAAGAACTAGAAAGGACTTTCCAGGAATGTTGTTGGGCGGCCTTTGCACCTCGACGACAAGTGACAGACGTAAGTAAGTAAGATGATTTCGTAAGATAATGCTCTGTTTTTGAGTAAGTTGATGTGTCGCTCAACTTTGTAAATTAGTTGGAGTTAAGCAATACACTATCGGATGCCCGGCTCAGTGGTCTAAAGGTTAAGTGCTCTCGCGCGAGACTGATAGGTCCTGGGTTCGAATCACGCGAGGAGGGGTTATGGATGCTCATTGCTGAGAAGTCGCGCAGTGGGAAACGGTCGTCCAGTGCTTCCAGGTTTTCTATGGTGGTCTAGCATAATCTATTAGTCTTGTATTCAACTACATAAGCCATGAAAGTCACAGTTCATTTTCTTTTTTTTTTTTACAAAATCTTGAAAAACGTTTGCGATTCGTTCACACTAAGTTGAATGGATACTTACAAAACTACTACCACTAATACTACTACAACTACTAATACTTTTCGAATCAAATCAGTTCTTTCAGTTTCAAGTTATCAATGGTTTTGATAGTCATTAAGAAAATAGACAATTATCATGCTGAGTTTCAATAATCATTATGGTGTTTTTAATGACATTCAGTCATAAATACTATGTCATCAAGTCAATTGAATATAAACATCATTACCTATGTATTAAGCTTATAGAAAATTCAATTGTGATATAGTAAACATGATTAATTGACATAAATTTGGTATTTAAAAGTGGTTAAGGAAATGTATTCAGTGATTCATTCATTCATTTTATGTACTACATGAAAGTATGATGACTTTATGACAAAAAGTATTTGATTGTAAATTACAAAATCTATATGCACTAATGACTTGAACATATGTCTTGATCATTAGAGTTATACAAACCAAAGTTGGTAAGCTTTTTTTCATGATTCATAGTTGCTTTTTAATGGTGAATCACATAAATTCTGAATAACTAACAACATACTGTAGTATTTGCTACTGATATAGACATGAGTAGTATGTAACAATAGCAGAAGGTCAAGAAGGAAAGAACGGAAACAGAGAGTAATTGGTATGAAAATGCAGGAATAAACAAGTCTGAGATGACTGACTGGTAGTTGCCAAAGGAACAGTCAAGTTTAATACAATTGATCGATATTTTGTAACTGATATAGTACAACGCCGCTATTACAAGGTAAAATGAAATAAAATCTCTGATGGACGTATTTTGGAAAGATGGCTGCCCATAAAATTTGATCAAGAAATGTTTATCAAACTGATCATCAAATGAAAGATAAACAGTGGAAAATCACCAAATGGATAGTTTCATACCATAGGGGAATAACATCCCTGAGATCACAAGCAGATTATTATAGCCACTAGGAATAGTTGCGAACGATAAAAACTACAGGAGACAATACTAAACGAAAGTAATTTAAACATAATCTGTTAAATAAGTAGTTGCAACTGTGAATATAATAGGCGCCCTCTCTATCTACGTCTAAGTGAACATCAGTTGGCTGTTAAACATCATTGCAAAGATTTACTTATACCAATTCATGTGAACAAATGTAGACTTGAATTCTACTCAGAAAACGTCGAAATATTGGATAGAGAGAGCTCATAGAAAGCCACAGGATTTTTCTGAGCTTTGTACTCTTACCTAGTACTACCCAACAGATACATCAAAACTGACTAAATATTTAATAGGAAAAAGGAATAACAAATGTACGGTCAGGGTTTTGGTCAGAAGAGAAAACAACCATAGCAAACGTGCAAACTAGGACCATGTAGTTATTTGGTAAAAACGAACCAAACTTCAGGATAACAGAAAAAGAGCTTCATCGATTGTAAAGAAGTTTTAATAGTTCAAATTCGACCACTTCACTTCAGCCTGAAGTTTGTGCTGATGATGTCATTTAGAAGAACGATAAATGCTCCATGACCAAACCATCTAGCTCAGAGAACAAAACTCCATCAAAATCATCCACCTTACCTACAAATCTTCTCCACCATCTTAAAATTCAATACATCACTTCTCTTTTAAGTACGCTCTGATAGTATTGTCCAAAAAGACGATGAAAGCTTCACGGTCACTTTATTCATCTAAGAGATCTTAACAACTGAAGCATCTGCATTCTTCGTCATCAAAATATCACCCATAAAATGATGATTTTACTGAAGACTGACTTAAAGCATTTAAATAAAGGCACAGCTTAATTTAGTCATGGAAATTTTCTTACTTACTCCTGTTACCACCAATGGAGTATAGGCCTCAGACCAGCATTCTCCAACTCACTCTACGCTGGGCCTTCCTTTCCAGTCCTATCCAATTGTTATTGATTCTTCTCATATCTGTCTCCATTTGTCGATGTTATGTGTTCTTTGGTCTTCCTTTTCTTCTTTGGTCTTGATGATTCCAAGTGAGGGCTTGCCTTGTGACTCAGTTGTTTGCTTTCCTCAATGTGTGTTCTATCCACTCCCAGCGCTTCTTCCTGATTTCGTCCTCCGCTTAAATCTGATTAGTTCTCTCCCACAATAGGTTGTTGCTGAGTGTTTGACCAACGGATCTGAAGTATTTTGCGTAGACAACTGTTAATAAACACATGTATCTTCTGGATGATTGCTTTCGTAGTTCTCCAAGTTTCTGCTCCACTCAATAGAACTTTGTTGATATTTGTATTAAAAATTCTAACTTTAGTGTTGGTTAACAGATAGTTGCCTTGAGTCTCAGATGTTCTTTAATTGTAGGTACGCTGCTTTTGCTTTGCCGGTCCGCCTTTCTTCACGTGAAAATGTACCGAATTTACAATGTATAACCATTTATTTAGGTTTCGTTCAATCTTAGAATGACAGGTAACTTCTGATATTGACTCAAGAAAGGAGTGATAATTTAGATTTTAAGTTTGTCAAATATGATATCTCTCAGTTTACTGCTATACGATAGTCACTTGAAAGTCATGTACTTTATAACAACAGTGAAAAGACTCTTTACTACGTAACACTAAGAAAACTTGTTACATGAAATTTGAGTTCAGTTATGTCATTTGTATATATTGTATCTCTTCTGAAAACTCTGCCTGTAGCTCTCCTAGAGTTACTTACCGTCCAAAGCCCAGGTAAAGGACAAGGGTTGGGCATGGAGTCGGCAACCTCATCCCGTAGAAAAAAATCTTGTTAACAAAAACGCAAACCAGATTAAACTTCTTTTGAAACCAGGAGATCATTCGTTAGATTACAAGTTGAATTATTTCACAATAGAATGATATATTGTGTGAAGTGTTAGCGTATGAGGACTTCACATAATCTTAATGAAGTTTAACATATTTAACAAGTATAGAGGGAGTTCAGTAGATTGGTGAATTTGTAGCTTTACATTATTGATCTACTACTATAGCACTGAACAGCTATTTTTCCTTTTATATCCGAAGACTCAAGATTTGATTATTAATGAGATTATAGATGCCCACTGTTGAATGGTTCCATACTACCATGAAACAGTTATTCAATACTTCTGAGTTCTCAAAAGTTATTTACCTGAACTCAGTCTTTGATATAAAAACTACAAATACTGAATAAGAGTTTTATATTCAAAAATGTATATCACAAATATTAAACACGTTCAAAACATACTACGCTCATTTGATTTTGGGATGATGAAGAAGATTTGTAGGTAAGGTGGATGATTTTGATGAAGTTTTGTTCTCTGAGCTAGATGATTTAGTTGTAGAGAATTCATCGTTCTTCTGAATGACATCATCAGCACAAACTTCAGGCAGACCTCTACCATGACTAAATCACCCAGTTTAGAGAACAAAACTTCATCAAAATTCAAAGAATATTGTTTCAAACTTCAGCTGATCAGACAAAGAAGAGAAAAAAAAGGAGAAAAAAACCCAAGAAAGAGTAAGTTACCTTGATATGATGTTTTTAATGATGATTGTTCTGTATAATGTTTTGTTTTATATAAAGGTAAATCATAAACATTTCGTTTTTTATTTAATCTCCATGTCATATCTGACATAGAATAAACATGTTTGTGTAATTTATTGATTTTATGTAAATTTTTGAAAATTTTTTGTTTATTTCTTGTTGCCCAGAAACGTAACTGTCATAAACAAAAAAAAAAAAAGAAGTAAAAAGAAAAAGAAAATTTATAAAGGAATAAATATATTATTGATCATTATTATTATTACAAATTAATGTATTAGCCCCCGAATACCCTGGTACAGTTAAGGATGGGGAGAGTCAACTCTCTCTCTCTCTCAAAATGCTCTCATATTTTCACAGGCATACAAACACTGTCAGAGAAGTCCTACTCACTGTTTTCTCGAGGCGTGAGTGTTGTTTATGAAAGTAAAAGTATGAAAAGAGAATGTCCGGCGCTTTAACCGGGTTGGTGGATACGGACGGTTTACGTACGGAAGTTGGAAAACCCTGATTCCAAACCGTTAGTCCACATGAGTTCCACGATCCTGAGTGAACAAATAGTGTAAGAACATATTGTTGGTCACCGGCTAGCATAGGAATACATTTGCTGACATTGCTCCACTGCCTTAAGAATTGAACCTTCAGGTCGAAGGCTCGGGATATGGCTCCCTACGAAAACCACCTGCTTCGGTTTGAGCACCCGGGTAGTATCCTAGTCCTCACAGAAACCGAATGATTTATATGGCGCATATATATTTGGTGCCTTCTTGCACCTATGTTTATCTGTTTAAATAAATAAATAACTTGGAAAAAACAACGAAGTTTTCGACAATTATTTTGTGGTGTGCACTACTGATGTTGACAGACATAAGTAGTACGTATTATTAATCGAAAGTGAAATGCCTGACGGTAGAAGGTTAGAAGCTCCAAGAGTACAGAACGAGAACAAAGAATGATTTGTGTGAAAACGGAAAAACAATGAAGTCTAAGACGATTGATTGACATTTTGCAAATGAACTGATTACTGAACGGTTCTCAGATTTTACTAACACATTCTGTAATTTTGTGTTCAATTACATTCGGTTTTCCTCACTGATATTCTCACTCATTACAATATCATCATCAGAATCTAAAAACTTCATAATCATATACTGAATCGAAAAGAAAAATAAATATATATTATTGATTATCATCATTACAAATTGATGTATTAGCCCTAAAATACTCTGGTATGGCTGAGAATGAGGAGAGTCAATTCCGATAAACTTTGTCTTCTTATTACATGATCGAAATAAAATTGTTTGACTGACTTTAAAGAAAGGTTTAAAAAAAGAGATACATTTGTTGTATTCAATGATGATTGGCATACTTCATGTATATTAGAACTTTCAACAGAGCATACTGTAATTGTTATATCCTAGTGAAGATTAGAACTATTAGTGACTATTAATGACCTAATATTATACAATACATTCTTATTGTATAACTATTCAGTAACTTGATTGTGCATATCTATGTGCATCTTATTATAAGCTTTATTTTGATCTATAAATTATTATTATACGATTTAGCGTTCTTGAGTTATGCCCAGTCAATTAATTACAGTCTCCCACATTCATAGCCACCTAATGGCTTGAACTTGTATAAATGTTATTTCTTATTTTACGGTGTGATTTGGTTTGTTTGAAATAAATGATCTGCGTAGTGCAAGCTGGTATTGGCATCCTGGACTCAACTGTAAGGGCTACAAGAAAAAAAAGGATTAATAAAGACGCTATGTTTCCCATATCGGTTGAATGTCATTGCTTTGGCACAGTGCTGAGATTGTATAAGTCCCATTTCGATTGGTGAATAAACCACGTGATGATTAGCCGGGCATAAAGTCACATCAGTAACATTAAATTTACATTTTAATGAGAACATAAAAGCATATTTCATTTCCTAAACCTTGGTGCTTAAAGTAATTCAGGTAGGCAGTCGGAGAAATATATTTATGAAAAAGGTTAATACAGCCAGGTATACATGAACTTTCTTGGCTTCTGTCTGATAAATTACAAAAGAGCTTTGTTCAACAATTTAACCAGGTTATGTTCAGTGAGTAGAAATGAAAAAGGAATGCGCCATAGGTGAACGTTAATAACGTGATAACGGTTATCCGTAAAATTCAATAACTAAGCATATATCAACTATAACAAAGGAAGGGAAATATGCTATGGCTGAGAAAAACGTGACTTCAAGGGTTATGAAATAGATGGAAATATAGCTTTCGGACTAAGGACAATACTAAGAAGGATGTATCCAGAGGCTAAGCTGGTCTCTCACTGGGTAATCATTATTCTTTATAGGAGTTAATCAAGATGATCCAAGGAGCTGACATTCAAAATATGTTTCATTTGGAAAGAAGAAAGAATAATAAATTTCTCTAAAACTTACATTAGCAACCATATTCAAAGTACTTTCTCCATAATTTCGATGTGGTAATTTTGGCGGTTGTTCATTTGAAGATTTATCTGAGATCATATCTTGAAAACATTGATTTTCATATGAACGTAAACTACAAGAGGAATAATCTTTATAAAATGATCTAGAATCCAATTTCTTGTTAGTTGGATAGTGAGTTTTATTTGATTTCAATTCAATTAACTCACAATAGACATGTGCATCGGAGACAACTGAATCCTATTATGATAATACATCGAAAAAAATAACAAAAATAACGAGTGAAACATCTTAACCAGATCATAAACATGTCTCATTGGTATAGTTTTAATGAAAAGTTGTGGTGGAGGTTGTTAAACGTTGTTGGCTTTAAGATGGTCATCGCTGTTGGTTGATCGTTGTTTTGTAACTCTAATAGAAGAGATTCGAAGTATTGAATATCAACACAATGGTAAAGAGATTCAGTATTTTTCGTAAGAACAAAAGGTCCAAGGTTGAACCCTTGATATGGTTGTAATCACGAATTGATGAAAACTTTCACGCTAGAACGAAACAGTTATTCAGTACTTTCCGGTCTTAGTTACGGCTTCGATTGATGGCAAAATACCTCAACAAGCTTTTATTGTTCTGTAGCTGAGATTTAACGAATACAAATCTATCTAATATTTGTTGCTAATCGAGTTCTACTAATCACACTGGAATGTGTCTACTGGTCTAAGCAATTGTACGCTTTACTTTTATGTAAATAGTTGAATCCATTCGGTAGAAAGCAGGCTTCTTGCACCAGAAGTGTTGTTTATGAAAAGCGAATGTCCGGTATGGGCTTTAACCGGATCAGTGGATATTGAGGATCCACCTAGAGAAGTTGGAAAACCCTAATTCCAAATCAGTGATCGACATGGGCTCTAGTATCCTGAAGGAAATAAATGGTGTATAAACCTATTGTTTGTCGCCGGCTAGCATAGGACTGCATCCCCTGACGTTGCTTCACTGCTTTGTGGATTAGACCTGCAGGTCAAAGGCTTGGGATGCTGCCCACTAAACGAAACCACCCGGTTTCGGTTTGGGAACGCGGGCAGTACCACGACGGTCACACAAATCAATAATAAATGCTATGGACCTCATGGTTATTGTGTGGAGTATATTTATTTGGTGCCCCCTACCTTGTGTCAATGTTTATGTGTTCAAACAAATTAATGCTATACGTAAACAAGTCTAACGTTAATCAATATCACTATTCTGTTGTGTTCTATTGATGATCACGACTAGATCGAAATAAAAAAAACTGGATCTGAATAAACACGTCATTTTAAACTGCTTACTTAAGCTGGAACATTGAATAAGATTGAACATTTGTATGTGTGTGTGCAACTGATTTTCTAAACACAAAGAGATGCACTCAATAGTTCCTTACTCATTTTTGTATGATAATTCAAAGCAAATTAGGTAAAACAGAATTAGGACCTAAGTTCTATTAACTGAATGTTAAATGTTTCAATCCGAAAGTGCATCCGATAGTTCCATTGCTTACAAAATACCGGTGTCTGTTTATATATAACACTTAGAATATGAATTCACTTTGTGTTGTTTTACTTGTATCTTCCCATTGATATATAGGATTGTAATTGATCAGTCTCATGTTAGCATATGTGCATTCTGTGAGGACTGCTTCGATATTGCCTGAAGTCACAAGCATTCTAAGCAAAGATGGATGGTGGTTAGCAGTGGAATCCAGGATGCGTGTTTTGTCCTATTTGAGACTCGTCAATTGGATGTGTCTGTATCCCAGAGTTGATGTTCACTCTGGGACTCAAACCCAGTACCGAAAGGCCCGTCCTGGATTCCACTGCTAGCCACTGTCCATTTTTGCTTACTTAGAATATGGTTATTAATTCCATTCTTTTAAAATGAGGAATCAGTATCTAGTTTTGAGGATCAATTGAAAGAGTGAGTAACCGCTGATATTATGGTTCAATATATTACACAAAATCCTAGTGTACATTATGAGTGTACACTGGAAATAAAATCATAATACTTGACTTGTCCAAATATTTCTAACTGGAAGACGATCTTTCGCATATGGTTGATGAACTGACACTGATGAATCATCCCATAATGATGAATGTGTTGATTGTAATGTATCTTTCAAAGGATATTGAATTGCTGAATAAATTGGATCAAATAAATCACTTTGCCAATCACATTGCCTATATGGTGATAAACGATAATGGGTAGTGGAATTTGATGATATTCTGTTTGAAAATGATTGTATAACACTTTTAGTATCCGTCCAAATAGGATAACCATGATAGACTTTAGCTCTTCTACCTTGTTCTTTTAAACTATTAGCTTTTTGTTTAATATGTTGTCTAAAATTAAAATAAATCAAATAAGTAGTACATAGACTAATAACAAAAAAAACATGTTTAAGCTCATGACAGTATTTCAACGTAGCATAAAAGGGTATTTACTGAAGATCAACCTAATATTAAAGATTATATTGAATGACTGAGATAACCAATTTGACTATCTTGAAAACCTGATCCATACAATCATTTAGAGAATCCCGCTCTCTATAGGACTTGTATTTGTATGGTCCAACCTCCAACATCAATTATTAGACATGTAGTGATAATAAATTGTAACCTATGACTAATATCAGTCTGCGTGGGAAATATAACTCCATTAAATCTAATGTGTAAGATGCCTTAGTTCTTTTTGCAAAAAGGAATACTTTCATATGTTGATCGGCCGTGAATAGAAAGAAAGAAAGAAGAAGCAGAATTTGTCACTAGCTATCTCTACTCAGTAACTCAGTGAATAATGTAATGGATTATGAATTGGAAGGTACTAGGTTTGAGTCTTGCTGTGAATATCAACATTCGATTACAAGTATATGTTTATCTGACAAGCTGCAAATAAAGAGAAATTTGGTTGTGGATTCTATTACCAGACACAAATCAACTTTACGACAGAATGTTTTCAAATTGAGTTTTGAGATTTTATAATTTGTTTTTCACCGGGTGAAAATGATTAAAAAATACATGAAACAGAAGTAATTGTTCTTCGTGCATATTGCCTCAATATCACCTTAAATCACAAGCTTTATAAGCAAAGATGGATGGATAGTGGCTAGTAGTAGAATCCAGGATGCGTGTATCGTCCTATTTGAAACTCGTCAGCTGGATGTACCTGCATCGTGTTATCCACATAGCTACTGAGTCCTGATAGCCACCTGTTTGTGCAATGGGGTCAAGTTTAAATTCACTTGTTGTTGTTTCACTTGTATCTTCCCATTAATATTTAGGACTGCAATTGATCTGTCTCATGTTGGCATATGTGCATCCTGTTCGAATTGTCTCGATATAGCCTTAAGTCACAAGCTTTTTAAGAGAAGTTTTTTACATTTAATATACCTACTTACTTACTTACGCCTGTTACTCCTCGTGAAGGAGCATAGGCCGCTCACCAGCATTCTCCATCCAACCCTGTCCTGGGCAATCCTTTCTAGCTCCGTCCAGTTGTAATTCATCGTTTTCATATCTGCTTCTATTATCCGACGCAATGTGTTCTTTGGCCTTCCTCTTTTTCGATTCCCTTCAGGATTCCAAGTTTGGGCTTGCCTCGTGATGCAGTTTGACGATTTGCGTAATGTATGTCCTATCCATTTCCATCGTCTTTTCCTAATTTCTTCTACAGCTGGAAGTTGGTTTGTTCTCTCACACAGAAGGCTATTGCTGATGGTATCCGGCCAATGGATGTTGAGTATCTTGCGTAGACAGCTATTTATAAATACTTGTACTTTCTTGATTGTGGTTGTTGTAGTTCTCCAAGTTTCAGCTCCATACAGTAGAACTGCCTTGACGTTGGTATTGAAGACTCTCACTTTGATATTGGTTGAAAGTTGTTTTGAGTTCCATATGTTCTTTAACTGTAGGAATGCTGTCCTTGCTTTGCCAATCCTTGTCTTTACGTCTGCATCTGAATCTCCTTGTTCATCGATGATGCTTCCCAGGTACGTGAAGGACTCTACATTTTCCAGAGTTTCGCCATCAAGAGTAATTTTATTGTTGTTTTCCGCTTTGAATTTGAGGACTTTGGTTTTCCCTTTGTGTATGCTGAGGCCTACTGATGCAGAGACCGCTGCTACACTGGCTGTGTTCATCTGCATCTGTTCGTGTGTACATGATAGGAGGGCTAGGTCATCTGCGAAGTCCAAATCGTCTAATTGATTTCGAGCTGTCTATTGAATTCCGTGTTTTCCCTCAGATGTCGAGGTCTTCATAATCCAGTCGACCACCAGAAGAAAGAGGAAGGGAGAGAGTAAACAGCCTTGTCTGACTCCGGTCCTTACTTGGAATGCATCTGTCAGCTGTCCTCCATCCACGACTTTGCACAGTAGTCCGTCGTATGAGTTTCGGATAATGTTGACAATCTTCTCAGGAACTCCGTAGTGTCGAAGAAGTTTCCATAATGTCCTCCTATCTACACTGTCGAATGCTTTTTCATAATCAATGAAGTTGATGTATAGTGATGAGTTCCATTCAACTGATTGTTCGACGATGATCCGTAGTGTTTTAATTTGGTCTTTGCATGATCGATCCTTACGGAATCCAGCTTGTTGATCTCGAAGTTGGGCGTCTACTGCATCTTTCATCCGGTTCAGCAACACTCTGTTGAAGACCTTCCCTGGTATTGACAGCAGTGTAATGCCTCTATAGTTTTCACATTTGCTCAGATCTTCTTTCTTTGGAATCTTGACGAGGTGCCCTTCTTTCCAGTCCATCGGCATTTGTTCCTCCTCCCAAATCTTTTTGAATAGAAGGTAAAGCATGTTTGTAGTTGCTTCGATGTCTGACTTCAGTGCTTCAGCTGGTATGTTGTCCGGACCCTCTGCTTTCCTGTTCTTGATTTGTCTGATGGCCATTCTGATTTCTTCCTTCGTTGGTGGGTTGACGTCTATGGGAAGATCTGTGTGTGCCGCTTCGATGTCCGGTGGATTCATTGGAGCCGGCCTATTCAGGAGTTCCTCGAAGTATTCTATCCATCTGTTCCGCTGTTGTTGAATTTCGGTGATTGACTTGCCTTCTTTGTCTTTGACCGGTCTCTCTGGTTTACTGTATCTCCCTGATAATTTCTTTGTTGTATCGTAAAGCTGTTTCATATTTCCTTCTCTAGGAGCTCTTTCTGCCGTCGTTGCTAGTTTTTCCACGTATTTCTTCTTGTCAGCTCTAATGCTCCTCTTCACTTGTTTGTTTGCTTCTATGTATTCAGCTTGTGCTTGGACTTTCTCTGCTCGTGTTCGGCTGTTGTTTATTGCTGCCTTCTTGTTCTTCCTTTCTTTGATCTTGTCCAGTGTTTCTGTAGAGATCCATTCCTTATGATGGTATTTCTTTAGACCCAGAACCTCTTGACACGTTGAAGTTAATGCTTCTTTGATGCCTTTCCAGTTGTCCTCCATACTAGTTTCTTCTTCTTTCAGTAGATCTTGTAAGGCTTGGAACCTGTTGTTGAGAGCTACCTTGAATTCATCGAGTTTGTCAGTATCTCGAAAGAAGGCAGTATTGAACCTTTGTATTGCTGTTTGTCCACTTGTCCAGGTCTTTTTTAGCTTCAGTTTTAAATTGGCCACAACTAGGTGGTGATCTGAAGCTACGTCAGCGCCTCTCCTGGTTCTCACATCTTCCATTGTCCTTCGGAATTTTTTGTTGATGCAAATATGATCTATTTGGTTCTCTGTAGTGTGGTCCGGTGAGATCCATGTAGAATTGTGTATACGCTTGTGTGGAAATATTGTGCCTCCTATGACCAATTTGTTGAATGCACATTGATTTGCCAATCTTTCTCCATTTTCGTTTCTTTCTCCCAGTCCATGTCGTCCCATGATATCTTCATATCCAGTGTTGTCTATTCCGACTTTGGCATTTAGATCTCCCATCAGAATGGTGAGGTTTTTTCTTGAGCATTTCTCAATGACTGACTGCAGCCGCTCGTAGAACTGATCTTTAATGTCGTCCTTGCTATCATTTGTGGGTGCAAAACATTGGATAAAATTCATTGTGATCCCCTCCTTCTTTGTTTTGAATGATGCGTTGATGATTCTGGATCCGTGAGATTCCCATCCTACAGGTGCATTTCATGCTACTTTGGACAGCATAAGAGCAAATCCCTGAGTGTGTGGAGCATTGTCCTCTTCTTGACCGGAGTATAGCAGCATCTCTCCCGTAGCTAGCCTTTTCTGTCCAGCTTGGGTCCAGTGAGTCTCGCTGTTTCCCAGTACTGCTAAGTTGTATCTCCTCATTTCCATTGTTATTTGACTGATCTTCCCGGTTTCCCACATTGTTCGAACGTTCCATGTACCTATAAAATTTTTTGCTCTGGTTGTTAGAAGGGGCATTGGCCTCGTGGCTTCCGAAGGAACTCGGCTTTCACCATGAAGCGTCGTAATTCTTCTAAATGAAAACCTTCTAACTCCTAGGGCAGAGTTTAAATGGTTGGGATTATTTTTTCTGGTAAGCGTTTTTTTAGCGAGTTAGTTTTCTACGGGATGGGGTCGCTAACCCCATGCCCAACCCTCCTCCTTTACCCGAGCTTGGGACCGGCAGTAACCCTACATTTAATATAAACACAGATTTTTCAATTATTCTACATACTGATATCATTTTGTGAATGAAAACTATGCAACATCAACAAAGAATTTTCAAATAGTAGTATAATTAAGAAAGGGGGTTTTGTGAAGATTGTAGTAATTTTAATAGCTGAAGTCCTGAGTCGATTAAAGTTAGTCCACCATGGAAAACCTGAAAACATTGGACAGCTGATTCGTCCTTGTATAGGACTCCTCAGCAGTGTGCATTCACAATCCTGCACACTATACTCGAACACAAGACCTATCGTCTTAGGCGCTTGATGATCTAGAGGTTAGGCGTTCTCGCGTGTGAGGACAGCCCACGGATTAACTCGAGAAATCCTTAAGTAGTTCAGAAAGAGCCGAAGACATTCTATCTAACCATTTTTTGAAAAAAATATTCCAGAATAACTACGTGTAGCTTCTCTTTTGGACAAATGCTAATAACCCCCTGTATGGGGATTGAAGGACTATAATGATGATTTCGTTTTTACTAAAAACTATGAACACCTGAGAGTTTTATATCATACTTGACACTGTTTGGAATAACATTCCATCACACTAGTCTTCTATCTTTTTATTTGCAACTTAGAGGGTTCTAGCGGTATATCAAGAACCTAAGCTCTAGACATAGCAGCGCGCAAAATCGTGGATCTGAACTACTGAAGAGTCGCATACTAAGACGAAACGACCATCCAATACTTCCAGGTTTTTCAATGATGGTTTAGATTTAATTAACTCATATATTCAAATATTGTCATTATCTCAATCATATAAAATTAAATTAGAATGATTCATAGATTTCATTATGTATTGTTTATGCTTTACTTTAAAAGTTTATTTTAATTCAATAATATACAGTTTCATTAATTGTAATACTGAATAAAGAACTAGAACTATGTTAAGTTAAACAATTAATTGATTAGATTTGTACCATTAAAGGGAAGTTATAAATAATATAAAACGATTATAATCATAAAGTTTTTAATTTAATGTTTTAGCGGCGAAACTATAATTTATGAACAAACCAATCAGATTTAAGATACCAGGTCTAGGATTTTGGCGCTAAATTCATTTACCCATTTGGTTAAATAGAATTTTGGCATTTTACCTGATATCAGTTTGTGATAAAAATCCTAAATCTAATTTTCAACTTTTAACCATCAACTGTAAATCATAATTCTAATTCCTCACACTCTGGTTTATAATCCTCATTCGGTTCTAGTTACTAGGTGGATACTTTCAAGGTCAGTCTAGTATCGCTCAAAGATCGTTCATAAGTTATAATTTCACCGTTCTTAACTTTTATATTATAATTTATTAATTATTCTATATAACGTAAAATGTATTGATATATCCGTAGTATTGTTGATCAACATTATATATTGGTTTAATTTCTACTAAATGAATAGACTATAAGAGAATGATTAAAAGAAGAAAAATTTCCCCAGTAACAATGATAATTTGTAACATGCTATTGGATATCATAGCACGTAAACAATGGCTAACAATCATGAGAATTGATGAAATCTTGTCAAAGGTAATTCGGATTACTGTAGCGTTTGTTATACAAGTTTAGGATTCATGATCAATAGTAAAGAAGAAAGTAACCCAACAACAATGGGAAGATTCAAATAAAAAATACCAAGTGAATTAAACTTCACCTCATTGCACAAACTAGTGGCTATCATGATCCAGTAGTTGAGTGGATAACATGAAGGCGTTTGAAGCGAACGGTACTGGGTTTGAGTCCCAAAGTGAACAATGAATCTAGGATGCAGTTACATTAAGCTGACGAGTCCAAAACGGGATGAAATGTGCGTCCTAGATTCCACCGCTAGCCACTATCTATCTTTCCTTATTCGTTAATAGTTATGATCATTCAAATGAGTTTTTTTCTTTTAAAATTATTTATAATCAAATGAAGGTTTAGAATGTTAAATGAAACCAGATTTTGAAGTAGGTAGTAAGTATTATTATCAAGGATTATTTGGGGGGAAATTAGTGACCTCGAGCGCCGTTGGAGGCATGAAGGCGGTTAGCACTTCACAGTCACCCACACCATGCAAGAATTCTCCTAGAGGTACCTAAAAAAATTTCTGTTAGGGGTGGTCTTCGTGACCTGAGAGGATAACTACAGTGCCCATGGGTTAACTGCTTGGTGTCGGTCACACACGACATTTTTGTGAGCTTTGACATTTTTAATAACTGTATCACTGCTAACCTATTTGCGTTCAATTAAATGTCCGCAAATTTAATTACTGAATTGAAAATAGTTTGTAAGACACAGTACTGGATTCTCTATCAGAATCACATTCAAACTCCCAATTCATAATGAAAAGACTCATCAATCTTTTGGTAAACGACCAACTAAACAAGACAGCAAGATGGAACAAAAAACACATGACAATAACAAAATTTGTGATGATAACCAGTCATAAGGAAATTTGATGGATTGTACTAACTTAACATATGTAGACCAACAAATGTACTGACTCTTAGTCGATGACATTATCTAGAATAACAACGAAAGTTTCATAGTCGAATCATCAATATGAAGGAATTCACTATTACCAATAAATGTCTATTTGAGCTGTGAATTTTCTTCGTCATATCAAAGTTAGACTTTAAAGTAGAGATGGAATAGTTCAAGCATCTAAATTTAGTTTATTAATGATATGTTTAATCCATTATATCATTATCATTGAAAGGTTGCTAATTCATTATTTATGTAGTTTAACTACAAATTTATGTTAAAAATAATCATGTGTTTCGATAAGAATGATGATTTATCATAAACTGATACTTTGATTTAAGTAACTAAGTCTCTTTTCTACTTGAACACATGTCTCTTGTATATCAATCTTCATATGCTAGCTACACTTATATGGTGGGGGAGGGGATGCTAATCACTTAAATTTGACTTTTATTGGACATAAACAGAATGAAAGTAATCAGAAGGGGATTTTTGTGGAGATTATAGTAGTTTAATAGTTGAATTCATGAGTCAATTAAAGCTAGGTCACTATGGAAAATCTGGAAGCACTGGACACTTAAACTGTAGACTACTGATCCCACCGGATTCCAACGGTGTTAATGTCTACCTCCGAACAATCCACCAAATTGAGCTACTGTCCACTATTATCTTCAGTGAGTTACTATCTCACAACAGACTCGAGTGAACTACACCGGTCATGACTCCTCATTAGACCTCCAGGAAATACCTCTTGAAACCAGTCATTAGTGAGCATATGATGATTATCATCAGAATGGGATTCTTGCGGAGATTGTAGTAATTTATTAGTTGATTTCATGAGTTAATTAAAGTGGGCAGGATCTTGGATGCGCACTGCTGAAGAGTCTCGTACTAAGACAAATCGGCCATCTAAAATGTAGTTGCATTATAAAGTTTACATTAAATTACATATTATTCAAAATTAATCATTACATACATATTTAATCCAAAAGTTCCTTTGTCATTTAATCTTTTCTTAATTGTTATTTTGTTTAAATTATCATTTTCATTTCTATTCAAATTGATTGTATTCTGATAGTCTTCAATAGGGTTATCACTTATAATATGTGAATAATTAGATTGTTTTGATAGATTAATATTAATGAAAGTATTTTTCCAATGAAGAAACTTCTTTGCAATTTCGATAAACTAATAATTGAAACAAGAAAAAGAAAAAAAAAGAGAAAAAAGGAGACAACAAAAAATATATTGATTGATGTATGAATAGAATAAATCTGAAATGTTTGTTTCATTTATTTTGTTAAATAATGTTTAATAGTCAGTTAGCCTATTAGAGTGCTTAGTATCTGTGTGGTTGCACCACTGTATTGAGCTGTAGTATTCAGATTGTAGCTTTAAAGCCTATATGGTGTCTGGTTCTTCTACGAAGCGTGATTGAGCTGTACTACACGAGTTATAAAGTTTAAGCCTGGATAATGTCTCGTTCTCACAGAAACTGGATTCAGCCGTACTGTTTAGGCGACAAATTTTAAGCCTGGTTAGTGTCTAATTCTGTTAAATGGGATTGAGCTGTAATGTATGCGTTGTCAGGTGAAAGTCTGGATAGTGTCTGGTTCTCTCGAAAACCAATGTAAAATAACTTTGGCTCACAAGAGTATATTATATAACTTGGAATCAGTTGAAAATGATGCAATCGAAAAAGTTTACCTGTTTTTATTGTATTATCCTAATGAATGCACACTGATGACTGTTGAAAATTTCTGGCATTAGACTTGGTTATTTACAAAATTTCAAAGATATTCAATCAGTTATAAACAAAATCTTCATGTAATACTAGTTGACTTAGATTTAAATCTCATTATAGGAACATTTCGTGTAATGTATTCAATGTTTGGCCAATTGATAAGTGCTAATTATCTTGAAATCTAGATTTAGAAGTACACTACTTATTTACTTAGTTACTTACACCTATTACTCCTTGTGAAGGAGAATAGGCTGCCCATCAGCATTCTCTACCCAACGCTGTTCTGGGCAATACTTTCAACTGCTTTCCACCTGCTATTCATCCCAATCATCTCTGCTACCGATTCCTGACGTAGTGTATTCCTTGGTCTTCCACATCTCATTTTCCCCTAAGGTTCTAAGTTAGGTTTTGCCTCGTGATACAGTTCAATGAGTTCCTCAATGTATGTCTTATCCATTTCCATCGTCTTTTCCTAATTTCCTCTTCAGCTGGAAGCTGGTTTGTTCTCTCCCATAGTAGGTTGTTGTTGATGGTATCCAGCTAATGGATGTTGAGCATCTTGTGTAGACAGCTATTTATAAATACTTGTACGTTCCTAATGATTATTGTTGTAGTTCTCCAAGCTTTAGCTCCGTATAGTAGAACTGTCTTGACGTTTGCATTGAAGATTATGACTTTGATATTGATTGAAAGACAGTTTTGAGTTCCATATGTTCTTCAGTTATAGAAATACGACCTTTGCTTTGCCAGTCCTCGCCTTTATGTCTACATCTGATCCTCCTTGTTCATCGATGATGATTCCCAAGTACGTGAAGGATTCCACATCTTCCAGAGCTTCTCCATCAAATGTGATTGGGTTGGTGTTGTCCTTGTTGTATTTGAGGACTTTGGTTTTCCCTTTGTGTATGTTGAGGCCTACTGATGAAGAGGCTACACTAGTTATCTTCATCTGCATTTTTTTCGTGTATATGGAATAAAGGGGCTAGGTCATCAACGAAGTTCAAATCTTCTAATTGATTCCGAGCTGTCGATTGTATTCCGTGATTTCCCCCACATGTCGAGGTCTTCTAAATCCAGTCGATCAATAAAAAAAGAGGAAGGGATAGAGTAAGCAGTCTTGTCCGACTGCGGTCCTTAGTTGGAATGCATCTGTCATCTGTCCTGCATGCACGACTTTGAACTGTAGTCCGTCATATGAATTCCGGATGATATTAAAGATCTTAGAGGTTCAAGCTTACTGCATAAAATGGCTTAAGTACACATTGTAGTGTACATAACGTTAAGTTATATATTGGAATATTCCTTTTTTTAATATGATTTAATCAGCATGGAAATTATATCAGTCGGCTCCCAAACGATCACATCAAAATATCTTGCCATGATAATAGCTTGTGTGCATATCCCTCTTAAATATATTCATTTAAAAACTTATGTATAAAGCAGAACTCTTTCTGAAAGAAAGCAGTCTTACCGAAATAAGTGTCAAGCAGTTTAAGTCTTTCACTTAAAGCATTTTAAAGATCATTTATAAAACAAATCAGCAAAAATAATTCATTGATGTGAACTGCTAAAAAGTCGAAGCTGATCCAAGACATATAGGCTGTCCATGTTTTCCTACTTTGTGACATGTCAGTAGAGCAAATTCCTAACTTCACTAGTGACTGAACCATGGAATTTCAGAGCTCTATGAGACAAGCTAACCTTTATACCGCTGAGTCAGTATCCCATGGTTTACATTCATAGCTTGGATTAATTTAGAATCCTAATACCACTATTGGGTGAATGCTTCACATATGACCTGGCTCAAATACACTGGTTATTGATTCTCAATAGAACTACTGAATTGTATCTCAAAACTAGCCACATCAAAATTTGCATCATGTATTAGCTTACACAAAATAAGTTTTACTATTAATAATGAATTGTGATAGCATACGTTGAAAATAAAAAAACTTTAGACAGTAGAATATTTAATAGTTGAGTTCATGAGTCAATCAAATTTAGGTCACCATGGAAAACCTGGAAGCACTGGACGTCCTTTTCGTCCTATGGTGGGACCACTCAGCAGTGCGCATCCAAGATCCTGCTCACTTTAATTAACTCATGAAATCAACTATTCTAATTAATACATTCTACACAAAAACCCCATTCTGATAATAATCATCATATGCTCACTAGTGACTGGTATCAAGAAGTATTTCCTGGAGTTCTAGAGTGAAGCCATAACCAGTCGAGTTCACTCGAGTCTGTTGTGAGATAGTAACTCACTGAAGATAATGGTGGACAGTGGTTCAGTTTGGTAGATTTGTTGAATTTAGACATTAACACAGATGCTGGCCGGATTAGTGGTGTAGTGGTTGTGTTGGCGTGCGAGACTGAAGGTCCTGTGTTCGATTTGCGCGAGCGGATCTATGGATGCGTGTTGCCACAGGGGAGTCCCATACTAGGACGAAATGACCGTCCAGTGCTTCAAGGTTTTCAATGGTCATCTAACATCAATCGGTTCTTGATCTCAATCAAAAGCTTAATAATCTTCATAACATCATACTGATTACTAAATATTAGATGTATAATGTACATTTCATGCAATCTAAACACATTGAGAAGACTCTCAAATTAGATGAATTACTTTATAACAATAATCATTCCATGCATACATGTTCGTTAGGATATCTTACACATCATGAATGTGTTCAAATTAATTGACATAGAAAGTAAATAAATTTTCTTATGTGTTAGTATCTTATTTATGAGAAAAACATGTAATAGATATATCCACAGTTAACTGTCTGTAAAACTTGAAATCTTAAATTATGTATCAGGTATTCTTGACCAAAATAGGAAAAAAAACAGCGTTGAATTCACTGTTTCCTCTCTCACCAGATATCTCCACCTGTAGCTTTTGTAGAGCTACCGCTCGTTCTGACCCCAGTTAAAGAATGAGGATTGAGCATAAGAATTAGCAATTCCAACCTTGTTAAATAAAACCCTCTAACCTGAAAGTCTATTACCAAATGTATTCAAAGTAAAATATTTAACATAATTCATCATTTATATGAAATGTAGAAAGAAAATTTGCATAAATAAGACTCGGTAACTGTCTATTTAAATTGACATGGTATGTGTACAACTGTAAAGTGATAATATGAATACATACATACCCTGTCTGTGTGTGTGTTTGTCTGTATGAATATCCAATTATCGCATGATTATCTCTTATTGTCAGATTAGGTATGTTGGTTGTATATTTCTAATAATCATATTGTATATTGAATACAAATGGAAGGTGATTAGTTTAACTATGAAATAATACATTCCAAGGTGGAATAATTGCGAACTTATCATTTATTTATCCAACTTATCTAAGTTCTATAGTTGACAAAAGTTTCTATGTATGTCATACAAAGTGATAATTAGACAAAGATTGTTTGTGAATGACAAACATTTTGTGTGCAATTAAACAATGAATATATTATGATCAGAATGGGGATTTGTGAAGATTGTAGTAATTTTACTAGTTGAATTTATGAGTCGATATAAACTAGACCATCATTGAAAACCTTTGGACAATAGATGAAAAGGTTTCTTAAGATCATGGATAAATTGAAATTAGACATTAACATTGTTGGATGTAAGCTTAGTGGTGTAGAGGTTAAGCGTTTGCGCACGAGGTCGCTGGTCCTGGGTTCAAGTCCTGCGAGCGGGATAGTGGACGCGCACAACTGAGGAGTCCCATACTAGGATGAAATGGCTATCCACTGCTTCCAGGTTTTCAATGGTGATTTAGCTTACATCAATATAAATTAGCTAGTAAAGGAAACAAATTAATCTATGGTTATTTAATACCACATTTTGATATATTGCGAAAGAGATATACAGAATATCTTTTTACATACTTCTATTAGAACGAAGCTTATGTCTTAGGTTTTGCATTATATACCATCTAAATTACAAAAACATTGAAGTAACCAAAATTCTAATACATTTACATGATTTGAATATTTGATCCAGTTCAATAAGTCTAACCAATTTAAATAAATTTCTGTTTATTATGATTGTAATACAAATATCAGTAAAAACGTTTGATCGTTTACATGTTTTAAAAAATGTGTTGGGTTTGAGCTCAAGAGTGAACATTAACAAGTCTGAAATGGAAGTACATCCAGTTGACGAGTCCCAAATAGGAATAAACGCACGTCTTGGATTCCACTGTTAGCCACTACCAATTTTTGCTTATCACACTTGTAACTTAAGGCAATATCCAGGCAATTCGCACAGGATGCATATAAGCCAACAAGAGATTGATCAATTGAGGTCTTAAACAACAATGGGAAGATACAAGTAAACAATATTACCAAGTGAATTGATATCCGCTCAACAAATATACACACATATGATCATATACTGACGTGCCTACTGTTTCATTATTATAAAATGTATCAGATTACTTTCTTTCTTGTCACTGAATAATTTTAATGTGTAGGAAAACTATGATGTTGATAGTTCTTGTGTGGGGTAAGTATTTTTCTTCGGTGTAAATGGTTAACAACTTTAAAAGTTAAACTTTTTAGCCCTGATGGTCAATGTTAAAGTATTCATTTTCATTTGAAAAGCCTGTTTATTACGCCATTTTGAATGTATGTACCAATAGCTTAGCTGTTTTTTATACTTTGCTAGTGAAATGCTTTAGTGGTGTATGCTACTGATGTCGACACATATAAGTAGTATGTATCATCAGTCGAAAGTGAAATGCCTGGTAATTGAACGTTAAAGAGATCAAAGAAAAGAGAATGAGAACGCAGAATGATTAGTGCGGAAACGAAGAAAACAATCATGTCTAAGACAATTGATTGACATGTTGCAGAATAGAATATTAACTATATGGTCCTCACCAGTAAAAACGTGGAAGCACTAATTAGATGTTTCATCCTAGAATAAGACTCTTCAGATGTGTGTATCTTCGATCTTGTGCACAAGATGAATGTTGTTATTCCTGTTTAGTGAAGTCTTATCTTCATAAATTCATTTGATGTCATTTACTTGTATGTTCCCATTGTTATTTACGACTGCAATTGATCAATCTCTTGTTGGCATATATGCATCCTGTACGGATTGGGTTGATATTGTCTTCGATCACAAGTCTTATAAACAACTGACGAATCTCGAGTAGGACGAAACGCACGTCAAACTGCTAACCACTATCCATTCTTGCTTATAAAGTTTTATGTTTATGTTTTAATTGTTTTATCTATTCTCATATTCGACAAATAAAAAAGTACAATAAAAAATTTTTAATTTACAAAAGTATGTTGCCATGTTATTTGAAAAATTAATAAAGATCAATGAGAGAACTTACCCATATAGTAAATGGTAATGATGGTTGTTGTTGGTAGTGGTGGTGATGATGGTGGTGTTTTTCATTTGATTGATTTAGATCTAAATTATTGGATAATTTAGTTGGTAAACTATTATTATTATTATTATTATTATTGTTATTATTATTATTATTATTATTATTATTATTATTATTATTATTATTCAATGAATTCGATAATTGATTATGATGTAATAAGGTTAATTGTTGTGATAGAATAGAGTGATTGTGATTTTCATTGAATTCATTTGATTTAATACATGTTGAATTTGAATCAATTTCGATTATATGTTTATCACTAGATTAAAATAAGAAAATAATATAAATTAATAAAGAAATTCCAATAGTTAACAATTTGAGTCAGTTGAAGCTAGACAATTATGGAAAACCTGGAAGCGTTGGACGGACGTTTTGTCCTATTGCAGGACTCCTCAGTGGTGCACATCCACGACTTCGCCCCCTTCGAGATTCGAACCCGGGACCATGGTGGTCTAGCTTCAACTGACTCATGATCTTAATCATTGAATTTACTATAATATCCACAAAACCCATCTGATATTAATAAAAAATGTTTATTTTAAAAGTTATATATATATCATCAACTGTGCGATACAGGTACATCCAGCTGACGAGTCTTAAATAGGACGAAATGTGCGTTTTTGATTCTACTGCTAGCCTATATCAACAATGGGAAGATTCAAGTACAAAATGCTTCACCCCATTGCACAAACAAGTGGTCATCGGGACTCAATAGCTAAATAGATAACGCGATGGTGTTTGAAGCGAACGGTACTGTGTTCGAGTGCCAAAGTGAACATCAACAAATCTGGGATGCAAGTACATCTAGCTAACGAGTCTCAAGTAGAACGATACGAGTGTCCGAAATCCCACTACTAACCATTATCCATCTTTGCTTAAAAAGCATGTATATATCATTTACATTTTATAATATATACTGATTTGTAAATTTGTTATTACAAATTAAAGTCGATCTCGCTTGGTGGGATCGTGAATGCGTACTGCCACGGAGGAGTCCCATACTAGAACGAAACGGCCGTCCAGCTCCTACATATTTTCCATGATGGTCTAGCTTTAATTGACTGATGAATTTAACTATTAAATTCCTATAATATCCACAAAACTCTTCTCATATTTTACATCATTTAATACAGATAGTCAGTTAATATTTACTTAATAATCAATTTAAATGATCTACTGGGTTACTACTGGGTTATTTAGAATTCTCATTATTTATGTTGCATAACTCATTTGATATTAATTCTGTTACCTTTTTTATAGTGAATGTCCCCTTAGTAACAAAAATGAATAAATCTTTATGAAAAAAATGGCTGAACCATTTTCAATCTTTGTCTGACAACGATAGATACATAGACAGATGGAAAGATAAACAGACAAGTACAATTACAAAGACAAATTTTATTAAGATGCAATTAAATGGACAAATTATTTTCAGCTCAAATACATTTTTGTTATTACATAACTAGTTCCAACATACTAAATAAAGATGGAAATACTAGACTGGGTGAAAACCCAAGATCTATTCTTCGCGATAGTTGGCATCCATTAGCACCAGATAACTCTGTTCTTGAAGAACTGATGCATCTTATGGGATTTGGATATGACAAATTTATTTTTACAATCCAACCAGTGCTAATAACTGGGGAAACATTCTATTTACGTCTGCTTAATGATTAAGCAATGTAAGGAAGAGAATAACTTGATTTCATGTAAATCAGTAGATTTAATAGAGAAACGTAAAAACAATAGCTGCTTGTTCAAACTAATTCAATTCGACTGAGATTGGTAACATTCGGAGAAGTATTACACATCAGTGAGTATTGAATATGTCTTTGTTCGAGTTTAGGACTCCTGAGCAATGAGCAGCTATGAATCTAATAACACAAGATGAAGTAAAAGAAATTTAAATCTTGACGTGAGAAAGTTCTTTCTAAACCGCAGCCTTAAATTCACTAACACACATAACTGGCTTCAACATATTTTCAGTATACGTCGGTCTGTGAAGAGTCAATTTTATAAATGACCTGTTTACGTTAGAAGATATAGAGTATAATACTTGCTTCTTGTGTAATGTGTTCAAAGCCATCCAATTCCGCTTCGATATTTATTATTTTAATGCTAGCAACATGTTTTGAGGTCTAAGACATTTAGTCGAAAATTTTCATTTCGTTTTTCGTTTGAAATTAAACCACCAATTTGACCCAAGCTATTAAAAGTAAACTGATATAAGGTGGTGGTTGGAGGTAGTCAACAGGAAACTGTAGACCTGAGTTTTGTACTATTTGGCACTCGTCAGCAAGGTGTACCTGTAATCTCGAGGGTACTGATACTCCCTAATGGATTCGATCCCGTGTCATCCAGCTTCTCAGCCAGAGATGTTGCCACTGAGCTATCCGGGCCTCGACTGACTTCTTGCAGGACTGAGATGCATTTACAATCGATTGATCACTGGGTAGTGATCAATAGCATGTATGTAAGGACCTTATTAGTGAAGATAGAATCTTATCGACTAAGTTGCATTGTGGCATGTTATGTCGAGTCACCTAGATTAGTGGCCACATTGCAACTTGGTCGATAGAATTCGGTTTACACTAAAACGGACTCGACACACATGACACTGATCACCACCCAGTCTCATTCATATTCCGTCTTCTCATTTGCGACTTGGAGGGTTCTAGTGTTCCAATGCTCCAGTTATACGAGACATATTGAGAATCTAAGCTCTAGATATAACAACTGGCGACGGTGATTGGATTCGAACCCACGTAGAGAAACCCCAATAGATTAGTAATCTATTGCCTTATTCACTCGCTCTAGATATAACACTAT